CAACTTCTAAAACTGTTTCGAGAGCTGCTAGGGGTTTTCTGGTGTATCTGAAATTGGCGTAAATTTCACAAGCTGATATTCCGGAAAATCCGTAATAATTACCAAGCTATGCAGCTGACCCTAGAGCTCCTAGATTGGTTCGACGAAAACACTTGTAGTTGTGATATTAGAATTGATTTGAGGTTGTGATATGAATACACTGAAGTCTTTTTTTACACGGTTTTTTTTTACACGCTTTTCCGCGATTTACACGGTACGTTTTTAACGATTTCTCGACAACGATACAACTTATCGACTTGATTCCAATCACGTTTCAAATCGAATGGCATACTTAAAAAAAATCACAATTTTTGGTGTAAATACCGAACATTTTGAAATATGTCGATATGGACCATAGCATGCTATAATTACAAATGGCATCAAAATCCGATTTTTTAAAAAAAATTTAAACATGTAAAAAATCAAAATCTCGTAGGTTTTTTTTTACACGGTACGTATCCCCCGTGTAAAAAAAGATCTGAGTGTATACAATTAATAGAAATTCCTCATCAACATTAAAAGTAGTCATAGCCATTTTTTTTTATATTTGTAGTTGAGAATGGTTTGGAGACAAACTAAACCAACCTGATATAGATATTTAGTTTAGTTTAGTAATATTTTAAGTTATGATTTCTGGGGTAGTTTTTGAAAATATTGGATTTCAAATATTGTTTGAGATTCCAAAGCGTTAAAAAGGGATTTTTTTTTTTTTTAAGTTAAAGCTAGAACAAATTTAAAGGCCAACATTCTAAAATTTTGTTTTGTTCTAGGAAAACATTTAAACAAGACAGACTTGTAAATATGTTCACGTCTCAGATCGTGATGTATTTCATAATTTTTTGTGGACATTATTTTTTTATTGTATTTCTAGAACTTGCAAAAATCTCAATTTCCTCTCAGACTCTGAAAACTGCTAAGAATTTAAGGCTGAAGGCCGCTCACAGTTTAAGGCTAAAGGGTCTTTTAGTGGGTTGAGTAATTTAATTTTAATTCCGTTCTGATTGCCTATCTTTTGACGTTTTCGCGTATTTTGCCCGCTGCATGTAGACTTCCTCAGTGCCAAGTACGAAAACAACATTTCTTAGATTGAGTCTTAGAGGATCGATATAATTGAAGGCTAACGCTGTTTTTAAAATTGTTAAGTGTTTTTTTTTCTAATTTGCTGTGGATATTCGAGTTGAAAATGGGTCATTCCAGCTCAAGTGAGTACAGAATTTTAAAAAGTTGTGGTCGATGTCACCGATTTGAGCCAAACTTGGCCAAAACGCTTATTTTGGAGACATGATTTACTTTGTTTTATACTACTAGAAGCAAAACACTTTCGACTTTAACCTTGTTATAATAAAATTGTTACGAAAAATAAAAATGTTTTGATATTTCTAAAATAATTTCAAACATGTTTTTCAAGCTATGTCTGAACAAAACTTCAATTCAAGTAATAACAACTAAAAAAATAAGAAATGAAATTGAAAAGTCACAATGAAGAATTTCATGGAATGAGTCAATAACTTGTTCTAAAAAAGAGATACATAAGGCTAATGTCGGCCTAAGTGTCCCTAATATTGGGCCCATACATATATTTCAAAAGCCACATGTGAAAAGGGCATACAAGCTTTTTGTAAACAAACCTTTGTATGCCCTTTTCTCGCCAACCGAGGGTCGCCCACGCAAACCAACAACATCATCGGGAAGGGGAAAGCTTCCCCTATCCGCTAATATAAATGGTTTACGTTGATGTCATATGGGTGGCGAGAAAAGGGCATAAGTAGGTTTGTTTACAAAAAGCTTGTATGCCCTTTTCTCGTGTTGTTCTTGATTTCGAAGGAAAACATTTTTCAAAAAAGCAACAAGCACTAGCAACCAAAAATATCCATTTGTATTGTCCGTTTTGTTCTAAGAAAAAATGAAGAACAGTAGATTTTTATACATGGACCAAATGTTAGATCCATAGGCCATCATTAGAGCCATTTCCCCTGCGTACTTTTTATAGCAAAAAAAAAAATGGTTGCAACACTAATAGTACGTTCAGACTACAGAGTTATAACATGTTATAGCGCTGTCTTGATGGTGGTTTCTGTGTTAAAATTATTTGACAACCGTTATAACATGTTATAACTCTCCACACTGGACAGCGTATTACTTGATCATACTTGGTGTGTTGTTATATGAAAGGCTCGATGGCCTTAGAGCGACCGTTTTTTATTACTGAGCAGAAAATCGTGGGTTCAAAATAAATCTTTGTTTGGAATGATAGATGTTTCAAAAATTGTATGGCGGCAACTCTGGAAAATGTGATTTAAATGTGCCACCGATGAGTTTTTCTGAAATTTTTTCGTAGTCGTTGTTGAAAAAATATGTCTAATACATCGAAATTTATTGTAACTTTTTTTAAATTTTTACACGTTTCTTGGAGTCCATACTGAACAGAAAAAATGTCACAGCCTGCTAGATGCTCAATTTTTTCATGACAGGTCATGAATTGGAAATTATATGACGAACAACTTTGCCTATGGGTCCCGGGTTACCATCAGGTGGGTCGCTGAAATTCAGATAGCTTTGTTATATTTTTTTATAACTTCATGCTAAATTTATTCAGATTACAATAACAATTTGTCTCAAAATCATTTAGATATTCACGACTGCTCTATCATTTAATTTCAAGACCGTTGTGGCGTTTTCATGCCTTTTTTTCAATTCTATGGTCATTTTGACTATCTTTGACCAATTGTGGCATATCAAAAAAGATATAAAACGTTTTAGTGATATGTTTAAAGACGCCTTTTTTAAAAAGTATTTTATAAAAGTATAGGGTTAGGTTACACTAAATTACAATGCATTAGAAGTATTTCTTCGATTACGAAATCAAAAAAAAAATCAGATTAACCGCCCACGGTTGCTGCTCTGTTATTACCAGATCAGCTGCAATTACACAGAGAACCAACAGATGATGTTTGGGACTAACATTCATCCTCAATGTGTAAGAACTGGAGATCTAATATTTAGCAATACCAGCGCCGGCCGTGTCCGAATGCAGGTCAACTAGGGAATGGGAAGGAATGTGTTGACGTGATACTCGCTGTGAAGGAAACCGAGAAATCCTCTGCGCTTCCACGAGAAATCACTGGGATGTTGGATGTGGGGAAAGGTTGCACATGCACACGCAGGGATCGTTTTTGGTAGAGCGATTATAATACACAAACACACACACACACACACACACACACGCGCGCGCACTCATCCAATTTCTATTTTTAGATCAGGACCCACACTGTGGTAAGTGATGCGATCGGTGTTAAAGAAGAATTTGTTTTCATTAAAATCTAGTGGGTATAGAATAAGGCAAAGTGAAAAATTGCAAGGAAGGGGACGGGGACGGGCCTGGGATTGAACTCCCGACCTTCTGCTCAGTAAGCAGAAACGGTAACCACTGAGCTACCGAGCCTTGTCACATTAGAAGTATTTCTTCGATTACGGCTATGAAAATAAAAAAAAAATCGAATATCTCAACAGTTCTAGGACTACTAAATCACAAACAAAAACATATTTAATATGCCAATTTAAAAAATTAAGCCCGTGTCATAAAAAGGTCGAATTTCTGCACAAACTTGACTTATTTATAAAGAACAATTATGCAAAGTTTCATAGAATTCGGAGAGGGCATGGTTTGATCGATCCTTCAGTTCGCGTAGAAATGCTCTCTAGCACACACTTAGTTTCCACCGGTAATAGCCTCGGATTAAATCCCGATCGCGAATGTCGGGCTGCTCTGATGTCAACGTCGGTGTTAATCAATATGGTTACTTTGTTAAAGAAACTTTCAGTCATTGGCTGATTCGTCTCTATTAATATTAATCAATACGATCTTAAGCAAGTGGACGCATGAAAAAAACTAATCAATCATCTTTTACTATGTCCTGTGTTTGTGTTTGTGAAAATGTTCGATAGATACAACCCGAGCAGTATCAAAATGACAGCAAATTGAAATCCAGTTTTGATATCAACATCAAACTGAAATCATAATTTGATTTCAGTTTACGCAATTGACAAATTTCATACCTAATTTTGTTTTCATTTTGCTGTACATTTGCTCTTCAGAAATATGTTGTTGCGGGTTTGTTTTCATTGCCTTAGCATAACATCAAATTGAATACTTGTTTTGCTATCAACAGGAAAAATGGATATCAAATTAAGTTTTTAGTTTGCTCTCACTGATAGCAGAAATAGTTTTCAATGTTATGTCACAGGAAGATTTGTTTGCTCTCAATTGTGATATTTTAACCGTTAAAACGACAAACCTGAGTAATCATTATCAGCGAAATCACAACATCAAATTCAGATTTCAATTTGATCTCAGACTTTGCTCGGGAACTCACTACAATACACAAATACTGAACAAGTGGTTTTCCTTTTAAAATATTAACAAAACCCTTACGGTGCTCATATATTGCTGATTAAAAGCATGAATAAAGGCTGTTAACATTAGCAATTCTAATTATGCTAATGTTAGCATGTTAGTTGATGAGCTTATAAGCATTAGCAGTGTTAACTAAAGGCATTTTAGCACTAGTAGTACTGAAATAAAGTCGATTCAAGGCTTTGGATTAAAATGCTTATGGTTACTTTGACAGTTTACTGCCATATATCAATTAAAAGTGAATGTGATTCAATTAGCAGTAGATGAACCATAAACCATTTCTCTTCAATTGATAGAGGTGAAAAAATACGATGAACAGAATTGTTTGAATATATCACGTTAAAGTGAATTATTTGAAAATGAACAGCATTCCCAACAAACAATGTGTGCTAATTAAAGGCTCACTAAACCTTTTTTAGCTAAAGAAGCCAATGTTTGCCTGAATATCCCATGATCCTGTTTGTTGGGTTCTAGTCCCAACTAGATCTCTAAAAAAATAATTCAATCATCTTTTGTTTTATTATTCTCTTCTATTATTCTCTTACAGCAATACCAGAACACTTTCCGATCCAACCGCTCGTTTGTCCACCGAAGATCACTTTGCTACCGCCGACGATAACACAAGCAATAGCGTTTCGCTCAAAAAGCAGGACAGTCTCGACACATCCACCGCTTCTGCTATCCCGAATGACCTTGGGTACGGTGCGCACGCGGGTTCGCGGAAATCATACGACTCCAAATCGCTGCCAATACGAAACGATGGAAGTCTGGACTACGATGCCTTATACGAAGACGAATCGGACAACGATCTGTCGATGGAATCCCATGGTTCCGTGGTCACACATCTGCTCTCGCAGGTAAAGATCGGCATGGATCTGACAAAGGTGGTACTGCCGACATTTATCCTCGAACGACGGTCACTACTGGAAATGTATGCCGACTACTTTGCACATCCAGATCTATTCCTACGGATTGCCGACCTCGATGATCCTCGCGAAAGAATGATTCAAGTCGTTCGCTGGTACCTCAGTGCATACCATGCTGGCCGGAAGAGTTCAGTAGCCAAGAAGCCATACAACCCCATTCTCGGCGAAATATTTCAATGTCACTGGGACACACCCGAAATGCGTGAGTACTCCTCCAAAATCCAACATTTATTGTTGCGGAACAATAATTTACATTAGGTTAATTAATTACTTTCCATCTTTCCTTTTGTGTAGCAACTGGGGACGACAGCTCCAACATTGAAGTAAAAAATGGTCCAGTGCCGTGGTGTCGGAAAGACCAATTAACGTTTATGGCCGAACAAGTCTCACACCATCCTCCAAGTAATTAAAGGATTTATTCATTACTTCTCCTGACCCGTTTGGCAAAAAAAAAATCAAACCTTCAATCAATCTTATTTTTTCGCATTTTCTTTTTCAACCATTTTCAGTTTCAGCGTTTTATGCTGAGCATTACAACAAGAAGATTAGTTTTTCGGCGCACGTTTGGACGAAATCGAAATTTCTCGGACTATCGATTGGTGTACACAACATAGGCCAAGGTACCGTAACGCTATGCGATCTAAACGAGGAATACATCGTCACCTTTCCGAACGGTTACGGCAGGTTAGTGCGTTGAGAATAAATAATGCACCGGTTATAACTTACATATGAACATCTGTTCTCTATTTATATTAGATCTATTTTGACGGTACCATGGATAGAGCTTGGTGGTACCGTAAATATCACATGTCCGCAGACGGGTTATCATGCCGATATTGATTTCCTCACCAAGCCCTTCTACGGTGGGAAACGAAACAAGATCCAGGGCGAGGTAAGTGTTTTGGGATAATTTGATTCAATTACAAAACATGAAATACCATTGCCGTGACAGCAAGGTCGTACAATTCGTGGAAATGTTGCATTGGCAAGGTGGGCAAGATGGGTCAGCTAGTACATTTATTAATCTGTTTGTTTGTCAAAATCAACAGGTTCAATGCATCCACAATGGTTCTTTTGCTTTTTCATATCAGCATTGATGGGATAATAAAAAAAATCGAGTAGATGACCCATCTTACCCTGTGACCCATCTTGTCCCACTTTCGTTTCCCGTCATTAAATGCAAAATTTTGCAAAAAAAAACAATCAGAGTACGGTAGACAGTAGTTCCAATGTGATTTACTCAGCATGTAAGGGACCATCCATAAATGATAGCATATTTTTACAAATTTTAGACCCCCCCCCCCCTCGTTGCGTATTTTGCTATACCTAATACATGGCGGGTCACAACTTCTGAAACTCCCTCCCTCTCCTCTTCAAATGCTACGTCATTTATGCATGTTCCCTAATAGATATTGCCAATCCAGAGAAAAAAAAGAATCATCCATCAGATTAATTGACAACTATAGCCTTAGAAGCATGCATACAATACTGTTTTCTCTGAATTGGCAATATTTACGGAGTGATATTCAGAAGTTTAGAATTTGGTTGTGTAATACTAGTATGTATGTATGTATGTAAGTAGCCACCATCCTAGCTTGGGTCTTGCCCTGCATGCGGCTCCACTGAACAGCAAGATCAAATTCCGTCATCATTCTGAATTCAACATACTGCTGTATGAAGGGCCAAAAAGGGTTGGACGGGCCCGTAAGCAAAGGCACTTACGCGAAACCCGCGGGAATAAGAGAATCTACTTCCAACAATATGATCCAACAAAATGAATAACGAAATTCGCAATACATGTTAAGCTTTCCACGGGATGATTTGTTTAAGAAGAGCGCGTCAAATTCATTGCAACTGTTGGAGTGGAATGTAACTATCTAAAATGACAGTACACATTCCCTCCTAGACTCCGGTTGGCACTCCACTCCATTGTCCAGTTACTACTTCAATGATGCTCTGATGCTCCCTCCCGTCCCAGTATTTATTGTAATTTACATTATGAATTTATATATAATCATGTAATATATAATGTGTGTGTGTGTCATCCTCTATCCCTCACCCAGCCGGGGGCGTTGGACAAGTAGAACTGCGAATAATTTGATCAAATCTCATGCTCCGTAATGGTGCCCTTTATGTTGTGAAGACTAGTACTTCAAAAAGGGTAACTTTTGAGGCAAGACAGGGTGTCCTCAACAAGTTAAGGGAACAGGATGCACTAGATGTCCACAACAGGTACAGCAAAACATCACATAGACGCCCTTATTCACACTAACTACTCAGGGGATAGAAGGTCAAGAAGAGCCACCGCCGCCAACTAAAGCTTGAACCGGGTACCTGGGACTCCCACGATATACCCGCGGCAATGGTCAGCAGACGATGCCCTGTGCGTATTTAGTATGTAATATGTTTTATTTGGATACACAAAATGTTTGAAGCCATGCGTCATCTAAACCATAATTTGCATCACCACAAATACACTTGTCAACAATCTTCAACTGGAACGTACTCACCAAATCACTTCACCCGGGAGCGCATTCCCGATGCTTCCACGCATATTTTTTTTTCCCTCCACTCCAACCACACAACAACCAAATATCACTTTTCTTCACTTTTCTTTTTCAAGTCACTCCGTGCACAAAAGCAATGCACATCTCAAAACCCTTCCAATAGATCAGCGCACTTCTCATCACCGCGTAAATAAACAGAAATTAAAATTTTCACTCGCGATGCCACAAATTTCTGGTCCGGGAGAAACAATCAAACCACGCCAATTTTGCAAACATCAGAAGTTGAGGTTACTAGTGTATTAAATAATCTAGGTCCTATTTAGGATTATATCTGAAAAATCCAAATCTGGCCAACGCCCACCCTAAACCTAAACCTGTTCTAATCCACCTGAAATGACTAACGTATGGAAGACTTTGACTACCCAGCCATGCAATAGTCTCATTCCGTGCCTTATGGCAACTTGATGATTCTATTGCGCTCATCTTCTTGCACCACCCAGGGGAGACTTGGTCCTGTACCCAATGCTTAACTTATCTCCTTTCCACTCAGCTACTCGCAATTTCTTGTGATATAGTGGGCGGAATATTATTATATGAGACAATTCAATGCAGACGTCTTTCCAAATTTGGCAGATCGACAGGTAATCGGTGAGTTACCACGTTAGTTGCTATTCAACAACTCGACAACGTCCCATCGTCAACGCCTGCTATGAGAATTTCCCATTGCAGACGCCAACGAAATGACGTCATCGAGCTATAGATCAACTACCCTGGTTATCGCCTGGTACCTTATAGCACGATGCTAGGAGGCGAACCGGAAGAATCGATGAGCTACCTCCCCCATATAATCATGTAATATATAATGTATATAAAATAAAAAATAAAGATGTTTTACAAAATACAAATGACCTAGATTATTGGGTCCTATACACACACTTTTTATTGTATGTGCCATGAAATGACATAATGCATCATTGTATGTTTTGAAAATATAATACTAAAGTATTGAATCAATAGACCGAAAATCGAGGTTATTTGGACATGAGACATTATATTCAAAAGGATACTACCAAACCGACCATCAAACGCACTGCCCACAAAAGCAGACACGTCCCCTCGAAAATGCAATCGAGAAATGTTCAAGAACAATCCTCAACTGGAACGTACTCACCAAATCAATATATCCGGGAGCGCATTCCCGATATCGTCGAACGGCAAAAAAAGGGAACTCGGTGAGCAAATTTGTGATACGGAATTTTCACTGAAAACAACCGCGAATTTCACCACACCCAACAGCGAAACACGTTCAGAAGCACTTTTGGTACACTTTCGATATCAATTTCATTCGAAAAAACTTACTTTTTTTTTCAAAAATAGTTGCAAGTGTACCAACATTAACACCGATCGTGCCAAGCTCTTTCACGCACCTTGCAGAGCATAAACTGAAATTAAAATTTTCACTCACGATGCCACAAATTTCTGGTCCGGGAGAAACAATCAAACCACGCAGCGCCAAATCTTCTGATGCTTGCAATTTTGCAAACATGATGAAACATGTTTTCTTTCACGATTCTAAAACTTCTCGGAAAGCGAGAAAACCACCACTCACACACGTATAACCGTCCGGGAGGCAGAGTGCCAGCGCTAATCCGGCAAATGCAGCCGAAAACTATGAAAGCGAACGCACGCACAAAACAGAGAACAAACACAACCGTATCCAAAGGGGTTCCGTGCGCGACTGTGGTTGTGTAATACTAGTGAAGACAAATTCTAGTGACTGCGGAGTAACAAGACACCTATCCTCTAAAACGTCAAAAAAGGTGAGGAAAGGGTCTACTTACTCAGTTCAATCCTCAAGAATACATATGGTCAGGTGGTGTTTAACTAAGTACTGACTATTTAATGGTAGATTGACAAACATGAGACGGACCGAAAAGTTGTGGATCATCTCCCACCAAGGTGGGAACTCTCTAAACAGACTTGAAAGGACTAGAAACATAAATAATAATTTTAAAAAATCAAATGAACTGAAGTTGAAAAGACACTTGAAAATTCATACGTGTAACCACACAAATTCAAGAAATAAATATCATTTAAGGTCAAAATTGTGGATCATCTGTGCTGCCATGGGAAGCAGAGAGTTAAGAAATGCCAATCTCCTTGTCTTCGAATGAATATGTTGCGTTCGCATTTATTGTTTATTGTTTATTGTTTATTGAAAAATTCAACTGACAATTACTGTCTAAATAAAAACAAACTTTTATTTATGACAATTAAACCAATAGAACTATCAATTGTTAGCGGCGACGGTGGTGTAGTGGTAAGCGTGATTACCTCTCACCCCAGCAGGCCTGGGTTCAATAGAACTAACAATCGTTGAATAATAGTAAATTTTGATTGTCAATATTTTCTGCCCGACTTAACAATATTGAGCAACTAGGTAATATGATGATCTATACTCTGTTTCAGATTTACAGCCCCAACGAAAAGAAGTCTTTCATCTCGATCGTTGGTGAATGGAGCGGCCTAATGGAGTACAAATTCAACGATGGCAAACAACCATCCAAGTTTGAAACGTTTGTCGACGTAAATAGTATACCGATCTTCAAAAAGAAGGTACGCCCAGTCGCCGAACAAACGGACAACGAGTCGCGGAATGTGTGGAAAGAGGTCACTGCCGGATTGAAGTGAGCACCTATACCGTAACCGTTTGCTTTTTAACAGTTTGCTGAAAGGGTTGAAATTGTCTTTTCAGAATGAACGATATCGACAAAGCAACGAATGCAAAATTCCAGGTAGAGCAAAAACAGCGTAATGAAGCACGCGAACGGAAGGAAGCCAGTGGCGAATGGGAAAATAGGGTAATCAATGTGAACCATCCTTATTTCAACTTCATTAATTATCGATGTATCCTTTCCAGTATTTCAAACCAGTTGGTGATTCGTGGATCTACCATAATCCACTGCTACATAGATTAACACTAGAGCGACGTGATAACAAGAGATAGCAATCTAACGACGGTATATGTACAAGTACTAGCAGGAGTAGACAGTAAAGGTAAAATAGTAGTGCTACAGTTGTTATAAAATTGTGACGAGGAAAACATCACGAACATACTAAAACAAATCAGCAGGATGTTTAAGAAGTCCTTTACTATCTTCAATTTGATGTTTTGAAGCATGCGACATACAACAGTTCACGAAGCAAATGATGAAATAGACTGTTATTATTTGAAACTCGAGTTTATCATTATCCTTAAACATCTTCTATACAGCCCCGCTCAGGCTGTTTATAGACCACACAATCGCACCTAGGTTCAGTACTAGTGAGAAATGTATATTGTAGCTTTCAGCTATTCTGCTATGCAGTAGAATAACTTCGAATACACCACCTACGTATTTGCAAGTAACAATCTTCGAAACCAGTTCCTTTTTGTTATCCAAAAATAGATCGATTTTCAGTACAGCAAACAACTACCTTATTACCGTGCGATATTCTAAGTTTCTAAGCGTAATTTCAGTAGTCCTGTTGATTTCCGCAAACTGACCGTTGATCTCTTTGGCAATCGATTTGCAGTGATTCGTCAAAGCATTTAGCCACATTTTCTAAGACCATTAACTCTTCCACTAGTTCTGTAATATAAACACACTACAAAACGTTTGTCCATATTTTTATTGATAACGAAGGGGAGATCTTTGTGATATGCACAAATTAAATGAAAAAAAAACTCTGTTTTATATGCAACAATAACGTTACAAGCTACTAACACTTTGAATATACAAGTAAAAAACTAAACAGAACGCTTATTACCCACACACTAGCTCCTTTTTACCCGAAACTAAAACACCTGAACAGCCATGTGCTGGCTCCAAATTGATGAAAATACGCTTCATAGCGAACTAACAGGCGAACAGGTTAACAGAAGTTTGCTACAATGAAAAGCAACTGAAAATTACGTTTTGTTTAGATGACGAAACGGTATCTACTGTGAGTCATTATTATCAGTATCTACGTCGTGCGCCTAAACCAAAAGGTGGAACGAATTGCTATATTCACAAGATAAATGCACCGTAACTATAGTAAAACGACAACACGACAACAGATTTACACTATGAAACCTATATACAAGATCGCAACCAGCTGATCGAACACGTTGCACCAAACAGAAACCTACGGAACTACACAATTCCTTGTTGAGCAGTTGCATATTAAATACGGTTGAGAGGAAAAGTCAAAATAAACATATATTTGACTAGACCGATTATTTCAAATTAAAAATTAGTGATCATATTACTGATGAAAGCAGCAAAAATCCTTAGCAACATATTTTAGGACATTGTCCAACAGGAGAGAAAAAAATGAAAATTGGAAATAAAAACTATGCAATAAAAATTTCGAACATTAATATCTAGAACTTACTTTAATTAAATCATATCACAATACTCTACTATGTTCCTAACCGAAAATCTGATAATGGTTGCGATGTCACATCATCGCAAATTGGCTCTTCTGGATTTTTTTTTTTCTTCTTAGATTTGTTTTCCGTCGATCTTGTTTTCCGTGCTGAGCACAAATGCTACCGACGCCAGGGAAACAGCTCCCACACCTGAACCCTACCTACCGACCCATCAACTCATGAACCGGGGACATACGGCTTTACTTCCCTACCGAAGGAAGACATGATCAGAGATGTTATGCCTCAGAACATCCCGCCGGTGCCGACTGGGATTGAACCCAGGCCTGCTGGGGTGAGAGGTAATCACGCTTGCCACTACACCACCGGCGCCGTTTGGCTCTTCTGGATGATTTGTAATATATAAAGTAAAGGAGAAAAATCTATACAACTCTCTTATAAGGAAAATCCCCAAAGGCTTGGTAGCCATCATAGTTTAACATAAAAAATAAACAGGCCTCCCTTGGCCCCCTTCCACAAAAGTGTTCTAGCTACGTCAATGATTATACAAAATTGTTAAACATAGAAAAACGAAAACTTTAAATTTTCTTTTTTATTCCTTGATTTGTTTTCCCGTCGATTTTGTTTTCCGTACCAATGCTACCGACGCCAGGGAGGCAGCTCCCACACCTGGACCCTACATATCGACCCATCAACTCATGAACCGGGGACCAACGGCTTTAATTCCCTTCCGAAGGAAGACATGATCAGAGATGTTATGCCTCAGAACATCCCAGCGGCGCCGACTCCCTCCCCTTGGCTAGTTTTTGCACCTTGCTGCTGGTGGGCGGGCTTAATTTCATGCTTTATAGTGGAGTGTTGGAGACGGTAGGTTTATGGCCAGCGTTGCTGGCTCATGCCGCGATAGAATGGCGCCATGGGCAGGCGATGGGGATTACTAAGCTTCCCCTCTCTGATGAACCACTGCATGAGAAAACCAAAGATCTAGTCTAGCAGTGATAGCAAAGAAGAATACTAAGATGAAACTGTCGGAAGAAAAACTTTCGATTTTAGGCTCTGAACCATTTGGCGATTTTTTTTAACTTTTGGTTAAAATTTGACAGATGGAAAGTTATCGATTAACCCTGCTATCCGAGCATGGTTATTTCTGTCAGACAAAAAGTTAAATTTTGACGACCGTGGCTCGAAAACCGGTCGATCGACAGCACGGGGATTTTCGAACATAAGAAATAACTTTCGAAATGTCATTTTTAACCACGAGTTAAATTTAACTCGGCAAATAGTTCACAGCCTTAGTGTCCTCTTTCACGATCCCTTTCATCCAATGAATACCCCCCGTATGCAAGGTAATTTTGTGGTTTTGCTGCCCCCTCGGTAGAGATGAAATTTTGCGCACTTTTTTTATCAAAACAATCACGCCAAAATCAGAGATGTCCCATTTTTTTAATTACTCGATTAACAACTAATCGATTATTTTTTGTTCGCTGTGCTGTCATTTTTCCACCAATGAGAGTGCAGCACATTTTTGAAACGATGGGTGATGATCCTCTGGAGAAGTTATTGCTTATATCGGCATGATATAACCGATTACAAATATTTTACTTTTCGGTTCGTTAATCGATTAATCGATTATTTGAATGAACATCAGCCATCACTAGATGAATGTGAAACGTCATTCCAAATATAAGGACCGTACATAAATCTTCTTGTTTCATCTTTCTTTCATTTAACGTCGGTCTTTGTTCCACAATCTAGTGCCAATCACCGACGGACATCGATTTCCATCCATTGACGGCAATCGAATGTGCAAGAAGGCAGCTTCCACACCTGCGTAGGATATCGCACCCATTCAACACACATGAGCCGGGACCAACGGCTTTACTTCCCTTCCGAAGGAAGACGTGACCAGAGATTTGTATGCCTCAGAAAAATGGACGCCTGTTTTCCGATGTGCTTGAAATCCTCGCTTTTAGGGCTTTGCTTGTTGGATCCTTGGTGAGCTCCACCACAGTTGACGCATTTGGACGCCACAACTTCATCCGTAGCACATTCGGAGGTAGCATGTTGGCACTGTGTAACAGCGATGGCCGCCACGGTATAGCTCCCAGCGGACGATGATGGAATTGATGAAGCGCATGGCTTTCAGTGCGTTGAGCGTCACCGTTCCCTTTTGGAAGTGTGCCAGGAAAAGACAATCCGGATACGCCTTTACATTTTCGTCATTCCTTGTCATCCGATACACGGCACTTGGGGCCAACTTGTACCGGTTCCTGATTTCAGCTTCGATAAACTTCGGGTCGAAGTTCGGTAGGCCCCTGATTCTCACCGGAAATGTCGTGGGTGAAGAATAATACCCAAAGGCTTGGTAGCCATCATAATGAAGTAATGAAGTTGAGATATAATGGCAATCAAGCCTTTGGGGATTTTCCTTATTAGAGAGTTTTATAAAGATTTTTTCCTTTAGTTTACTTAAATCTTTGGTTTTTATTAGTTAGGCAGGTTCCGATTCTACACGTTTTAGTTTCATTTTTATACCTGTGATCTTGACATTTTTACCTAGGGGATGAGTACTGAGGGGGTTAGATTTGAACTGCATGAGAAACGTTTCTGAAAATTTTCAGCCAAATAAAAAAGATACGAAAATTAATGGATTTGCGAATTCGTCTGCAATCGCTCTACGGGAAAAATGTAAATTAAGATAAAATTGTAATATTGTGCCACAATTTTGGCGAAATGCGTGGAATTAGGCGCTGCGCAGAATTATGGCTCATTGCGGTATATTCTCTTACTGTAAATCTGTCATTTTTAGCCTATGTGCACTATTTAATGAATGGAAACCATAACATGAGTTCCCGCATAAACAATAACCATAAGAAGCACCTAACCACCAATTCGGGATATCATCCCAACTCTTTATGGTATAGTATCTCCAGGGCTGTTACAACAGGCGCGGATTTCGCGAATTTCGTGGATTTCGCGATTTTCGCGGATTTGAACTTTCAGTCGCGAAAATCGCGGAAACATTAAATCATGTCGCGAAAATCGCGAAGGGACTGATGTGCTGTCACAAAAATTGTGGAATTCCTTGTATCCGTCCCGGACAATTTGGCTGTCATTAATTTTGTTGTTCATTTGGCTCTCAATTTTTTACCGGTTCAAACCATTTTCACGGAAATTCCCTGAGGTCTGTCCAATGTGAGACATTTTCCTTTTTTCCAACATGAACATAGCATTTTTCGTTGTCAAATCATAAACGAATCGTATATATGCTAGTAATTGTCATGTATACCGGATATTCTAAGGTTCTAAAAATCGTCCTGGAGTTCAGTTGATTTGTTCTACTATATCAACCAAGGCTGCAATAATGTCTGTAGTATCGAAATATGTCCAAACAGATTCAAAGTGTCTATGTGGATTGTACCCGACCTATTGCTAGGTATACATGATGTTATAGGTTCGGAAATCATTCTGGAGATCAGATTATTTTTCTACTAGACTATATATGCCCAAACAAATTTGCCTTGTCTATGTGGATCATGGCAACCTATTTCCGTGTATGCGAAATGTTCTAAGATTTCCAAATCGATATTTCGATACTACAGATATTATCCAGGCTTTGTTGATCTAGTAAAACAAATTATCTGAACTGCAGGACGATTTGGAGAACCTAGATCATCTGGTATACGTGGAAATAATTAAACATTATCCATATAGACACTATGAATCTATTTGGATATATTTTGATACTACAGACTTTATCCCAGTCATGGTTGATCTAGTAGAATAAATCATCTGAACTCCAGAAAGATTTCTTCTTCTTCT